CCCCAAAACCCCAAAACCCTCAAATAATAATAAGCTATGGCTCAAAGTTTATAATTAAATCTTAAAATTAAATATGGTTGTAAGTCTTTACGTTTGTGACATTCCACAAAATATTGAAAAAGAGGAGCTTGAAAGTGTTTTCTCCTGCTTTGACGGCTTTGTTGAGGTCAGACTCGCCAAAGATAAAAACAGGTAATTGTCCTTCAAATAAATACTTGGATTTTTAGATAAAAAATTGCATTCGTTGATTATACCTCAGAAGATCATGCAAAATATGCCATGAATAGTACAAAAGGATTCAGATTTGCAGCCTCTACCAGAGGAATCAGTAAGTAGCAATTCATTGCTAAATAAAATAGCTGTCAGATATTCTGAAAATACTAAGAACAATAATAGCAGTAGTACTCAAGGCTAAGGCTAGAATCAGCAGTAACCAAGAAGAAGAGGTAATTTACTGATTTGTTAATACATATCTATTATAGATCAAGGTCACCAAAGCTAGCAAAGATAAGGTAACAATCATCAAAGTTCTAACTCGAGAGGAAGTCATCATGTTGAGTCCCCACAAATGAGTATTAAAGATCCTAATTATCATTAGCCGCAATAGTAGTATGGTAGGTATGAAGGCCCCCCTCCTCAACAATAGAATTACCAGTAATAATCTTCGCAGTAGTAGTCATAGTAGTTTAAAATTCCAAAGTCTAATCAGCCACCAAACAATTTCTCCTAAATTACCAATATTCCTCTCCATCAGTCAAATAATCCAAACAACAGTATGATTTTCAATGACTAGCGTTAACCAACTGGTACATCTACCCAATAAGATTATCCTCCTCTCAATCAATTCGGGTAGGATCCTGCACCTCATAAGTCTATTCCCCCCATTCAATAAACCCCATAAGATATTCTTTCAATTTTAAACAATCTTACTCATATGACATCTCAAACCACTGCTGCTAATAGTACCTATCATAGTTAATCTCAAGGTCCATTAGATTTTTCCTAATAGTCACAATAGTCGCTTAATGCAGGAAATCAGAACCTTCTTAACTTTTTTACAGGTTTGGCCCAAAATCCTTCTTTATAAGCGGGTGCTAACTAAATATAAAATCCGCTACTAATGGCCTCGTCTCTCAATAATCAAAATACTTCACAAACTTCTGAAGTGTCTAAGGCCATGTCTAGAATCTCAAGTCTCTTTGGTCCAAATATTATGCCTATTCCTAAAAATGCCACCAACACTGTCTATGTCGAGGGCATCCCGCTCGATGCTTCTGAAAGAGAAGTTGCTCGTACGTTTTTATTATATTCATTTATTGAGATACCAAATAGCTTTTATATTAGAATCTGAATTTTATCCTTATTATAGATATTTTCCGTCCATTCCCGGGATATAAGTCAGTTCGTTTGATCCCAAGAGAGAAAAGGCCAGGGGAAAAAGTCATTTTCTGCTTTGCAGATTTTGAGAATGCATTTCAGACTACTTTAGTTATCAACACTCTCTAGGTTAGTCTATTTCATCTCTAAAGTTATTTAAATAACTATATTTTATAGGGTTACCGTTTCGACAAGGATGATATATTGGGTTTATAATTCTCATATGCAATTACCAACAACAAATATACATCTGGTTCATTGTGATTACCTCACTATTTTATTAAACTTATTATTTCAAAGCAATTCTTTCTAAAACCTTTTAGTGGGGTTTTGGGGTTTTGGGGTTTTGGGG